CCCCCCCCCCCCCCCTCCCCTTTGTTTTTTGGTCAAAGTCATGTCCAACATTCGAGGATTAAAATTTTGCTTAAAATAGTTGAAATATTTGAAACGTTTTCAAGGAGAACGAAATGAATTAGTGATAGAATCGGAATTTTAATACTTTTAGGTATTCCATAATATTTCAATATATTTGTAAAATTATTTTGAAATGTTTTAAGGTGTTTTAAGATATTTTGGTATATTTCAATCAATGTTCTGAAAAAAAAAATTTTCAAATTTTTATTTCTTTTTTATTTTGTTTCTAAAACGGTCTCAAAACGTTTTCAAAACACATCAAAATATTTTTATTTTCTAAGTGATCGAAATAATACATTAAAACTAAATTTTGATTCTTGCGTACGTTTAATGTAAGGGTGGGTCTTCTTTAATTGATCTGTTTTGAAAATGGGTGGATCTGATACGACAAGATTAATAAACAAATCGAATATAAGTAAAGGTAATTAAAAAAATAAACAACAAGATTTGTTTATATATCAATTATACAATCTCCGACTCATACGATGTATATGTTAGAAATTCCGTTAAACTTAATGATAAATTTCAATAAAAGGATTACATTGACGCAAATGATATAATTTAGAGACTAAATAAATAGTTTAACTCTATTAAATTATACATTAAAGAAATTTCTTAAATTTTTTTATGATTTACAATTTATACCCTTAAAGTATGGTTCCAATTTCAAGTATCGAATCAAATGATAATTTATGCGCACATCGATTAACTCTCTTCCGGATTCAGTCAAAAACNGATTTACAATTTATACCCTTAAAGTATGGTTCCAATTTCAAGTATCGAATCAAATGACAATTTATGCGCACATCGATTAACTCTCTTCCGGATTCAGTCAAAAACAAGTTATTCACGTCAAAATTAAGGTATTTATGAGAGATAAATTTTTTATAATCTGATCCAAAAAAATTATCAATTTACGGTTCGTTTTTATTACTTCTAGGAGCTTAGTCGATGGTTTGGGCCTTACCATGTGTATATTCGTATGATAAAATGGTGTTTGAGTTTGTTGGGTCATTGCATTCGAGTCCAATAATGGCAACAAACGGATGTTTCCCTTTCAGTAAGACCCAAACCAGATAGTGCTCAACATTGACCAGGGGTCAAAAAAGGCCAGCCCAAGTTATTTCCAAAGTCTAGCCCAAATCAACTAATACATCTCGACAGATTAAGGCCCATGGCTATCAGCGAGCCCTACTTTCTAAGCTCCAAATCAGATATCAAAAAGAACTCGTCCTGAGTTATCTCTAGTGAAAAACAAAACCACCTTGTCGTATATTAAAAAAAAAATTACAAATTCAAATTGATCGGATCGAATTCCAATCCACCAAATTTATTTTCAAGTGGGGTCAAAAATTACTTTCGAAACTTACACTGGCTCAAAACGGTGCATGAACAGCAGCCATGGTTCGCATGTCATGGCCACTAGAAATGGTCCTATCAACGCACATCTAATTTTTTCACACACCGCTATCATTGTTATGTGTCACGGTATAACCTTTAGTAATAAATAAAATATATTTTGATCATAATAAGTTATATTTTATTAAGAGAGTCTAAATATATCACTATAAATTTTTCTTTAGACAGAGAATACAATATGCTATAAGTCCTCTCTTTCATGAAACTAATCAATGAAAATGCTCAAGTTTTGAAAATTTTATCCCTTTTGGACAAATAAATTTTTTACACTATTGCACCTCTACTACAATGTTTCATGACATCTCCAAATTATAATACACAATAACCCATTTTGCGTAGGTAATTATATATTATAATTTAAAGACCATTCCGTAACAAAAACATAATAAAACCTATAAATTTTAATGAATAGACCACTTTGATGGAAATTATCTATTTTAACTCATAGAATTTTTTTTCAAACCAAAATATTTTTATGACATCTTTAAATTACAATACACAATAATTCCCTTTGGACAAGTAATTATATATTATAATTTAAAAATTATCCCGTAACAAAAATATGAGAATAATTTATAAATTTTAACGAATAGACCACTTTAATAACAATCATTCATCTTAACTCATGAATTTTTTCACAACAGACCGGTCCACATATTTTCTTCGAAAAATTGCAGATCATAGGCAGCCCACTGTGACACAAAACCCTAAGGCCCTGATTTTACCACCGATTAGAAGAGGTTGCTTGTGGATTCGGCCCAGCCCATGATTGAAGCCCGTTTCTTACGCTGACAGACGATGTCCTTTAGACTTTCCCCCTATTTCTCACACTTTCTTGTCCAATACTCCTAACCCCTACTTCAAAAACTTCCATCTCTACACTCTCTCTCTCTCTCTCTCTCTATGTGTGTGTGTGTGTGGAAATACACACAGATAGGTACACCCACGTATACATATAATCAAAAATCAATGGCATTTAGGGGTGGTCGATTTCGAGAGCTACTGAAGAAGTACGGAAAGGTGGCGTTGGGAGTACACTTCTCAGTCTCAGCAGCTTCTACGGCAGGTCTCTATGTGGCCATCAAGAACAACGTCGATGTCGAGTCCATGCTCGAAAAGATCGGCATGCAACGCCTCTCTAAAACCCTTTCCAAAGAAGAACAAGAAGAGCAAAGAACTCCTAATCTGCCCCAAACGAACACTGGACCGACCGATGGGTCCATTCGTGAAGAACCAGTGCATAATCGAGACTCTACGTCTGGGATAATGAAGAAGAAGAATCGAACGGCTGAGATGGCTACTTCGAGCGGTGGAGCTCTAGCTATGGCGATGTTGTTGAATAAGGCTCTGTTTCCGGTGAGGGTTCCGATTACAATCGCACTTACCCCTCCGGTCGCGAGGTTCTTGTCGAGGCGAGGCATAATGAAGAACGGTGTATGATTCCTCTTAATTATCATCTCTAGTTCTCTCTGCTTTTAACAGAATTTATTGAACTCGTGATGTAAATTGAAGAAATACATAAAGGGTTTTGGAGTTTTTGATATAATTGACCTTTGTCCTCTTTATTGATTTGAATTTCATGAAAAAATTATATGTTTGATTGCCCCAACCGGAAATACTATGAAAAAAATGGGTTTTTGTGCCTTTTATAATCTGATTATCTTGAATGGCACTATTAGAAGTACTGAAAAAAAGTGAATTCTTTATGTAGTATTGAAAATCTTGTATTGATTATTTCTATTAAAAAGGTTCTAGAGGAGGGGACCTTACCCTAGACAGAAAAACCTGCAGATGCTCTTAAAGACAACTTGAGTCATAATTGGACTCCAATCTCACGAAACTGTTAGAGATAACTCAACAATCTACTTTTCGTGAATCAAATGTAAGACATAAGGCTCGGTGGTATTGAAAACCTTGTATTACGGTGCAAGGGAGGGGAAGAGTACGAAGAAAAGGGTAAGCTATAAGATCTAGGGGGGTTTGCTCCATAGAGAAAGTTACTTAGAACAGAAAGAGGAAGACCAGGAGTGAGGCAAAAAGGGCTTAGTGTGAGCCAGCCTAAGCTTAAATTTAAAGGCCAAAGCTGACCCTTGATCTTCACTCCGTTTCTGTAGTCTTATTTCCACCCCCATAAATCTAGTCTCTTTCTATAAACCAATTTCCTCCTCGTGCGATTCTGAAGGCCTAATAAAACACCCAACTGCAGTGTCAAACATCCAAAATTGGTAACTTTTTAGTAATAAAATTATAAATTCAGAGTTTAAATCTTGACAATGTTTTAGAATTAGGTTATGACAAATTTATTTCTCATGTATACTTTAATTTCAGTGTAGATAGCCTACTTTTGACCGGACCGAATAAAAGATGACCGGACCGAATAAAAGATTAGTTGAAGTGCACATAAGTTGACCTAATCATTTTTTATCATTGAACCTAAAAAAAATCCAAAATTGGACCTCTATAAAATAGATTATTGCATAAGATGATACATTATTAATAACTACCCTAAAATTGTTTCATGTTTAACACATTAATAATATAAAATCATGCGGAGCTTGAAGCAAATCGAGCAGAGCTAGCCGATTACGTTTTTCAGCAATAAGCTAACCCCTAACCTAGGTTGGTGTGAGTTACTATGGTTCCAAACCCTTCTCTAATATTAAGGTAAATTTCAAACCCAGCCGGCTGCAAGGATCAATACAAAATGAACAAGAAGCTCAATCCCATCATTAGAGTACAATTTTGTCCCCTCGATGGATACAATTTAGATTAAATTTTGTCCCATCATTCCCTGCCTTGCTCAACTTGCTTACCAGCAAAGTCCCATAGGAAGTGAATGGATATTTTGTGGAGATTAACATATTTGTATTTGATATCGTATCGGATATATTTTTTTACGTATTTAATAATAATTAAATATTAAGATATTTTACGGATATTTTTATGATTAAACAACATATATAATTTTTGAGTTGAATTTTTAACAACTCTTTCTGAATTCACATGTCATACAGTATATTAACAAAAAATTCATATTACTTTAAAGACACATGAATATTTCTTAAATATTATTTATAATTACATGTCAAAAGAGTATAAAATAAAGTAATTACTTTATTATTTTAGCAAAAATTACTTTTAAATACTAAGTAAATATTAACTTTAATTTTTTTAATTAGTCATTTCACTTTATAAATATACTACAGCGATACAATATATATTTTCTTGAAACTAAAAAAAATTATTAATTTTCCTTATTGTATATTACGGAACTACTNTAGACAGAAAAACCTGCAGATGCTCTTAAAGACAACTTGAGTCATAATTGGACTCCAATCTCACGAAACTGTTAGAGATAACTCAACAATCTACTTTTCGTGAATCAAATGTAAGACATAAGGCTCGGTGGTATTGAAAACCTTGTATTACGGTGCAAGGGAGGGGAAGAGTACGAAGAAAAGGGTAAGCTATAAGATCTAGGGGGGTTTGCTCCATAGAGAAAGTTACTTAGAACAGAAAGAGGAAGACCAGGAGTGAGGCAAAAAGGGCTTAGTGTGAGCCAGCCTAAGCTTAAATTTAAAGGCCAAAGCTGACCCTTGATCTTCACTCCGTTTCTGTAGTCTTATTTCCACCCCCATAAATCTAGTCTCTTTCTATAAACCAATTTCCTCCTCGTGCGATTCTGAAGGCCTAATAAAACACCCAACTGCAGTGTCAAACATCCAAAATTGGTAACTTTTTAGTAATAAAATTATAAATTCAGAGTTTAAATCTTGACAATGTTTTAGAATTAGGTTATGACAAATTTATTTCTCATGTATACTTTAATTTCAGTGTAGATAGCCTACTTTTGACCGGACCGAATAAAAGATGACCGGACCGAATAAAAGATTAGTTGAAGTGCACATAAGTTGACCTAATCATTTTTTATCATTGAACCTAAAAAAAATCCAAAATTGGACCTCTATAAAATAGATTATTGCATAAGATGATACATTATTAATAACTACCCTAAAATTGTTTCATGTTTAACACATTAATAATATAAAATCATGCGGAGCTTGAAGCAAATCGAGCAGAGCTAGCCGATTACGTTTTTCAGCAATAAGCTAACCCCTAACCTAGGTTGGTGTGAGTTACTATGGTTCCAAACCCTTCTCTAATATTAAGGTAAATTTCAAACCCAGCCGGCTGCAAGGATCAATACAAAATGAACAAGAAGCTCAATCCCATCATTAGAGTACAATTTTGTCCCCTCGATGGATACAATTTAGATTAAATTTTGTCCCATCATTCCCTGCCTTGCTCAACTTGCTTACCAGCAAAGTCCCATAGGAAGTGAATGGATATTTTGTGGAGATTAACATATTTGTATTTGATATCGTATCGGATATATTTTTTTACGTATTTAATAATAATTAAATATTAAGATATTTTACGGATATTTTTATGATTAAACAACATATATAATTTTTGAGTTGAATTTTTAACAACTCTTTCTGAATTCACATGTCATACAGTATATTAACAAAAAATTCATATTACTTTAAAGACACATGAATATTTCTTAAATATTATTTATAATTACATGTCAAAAGAGTATAAAATAAAGTAATTACTTTATTATTTTAGCAAAAATTACTTTTAAATACTAAGTAAATATTAACTTTAATTTTTTTAATTAGTCATTTCACTTTATAAATATACTACAGCGATACAATATATATTTTCTTGAAACTAAAAAAAATTATTAATTTTCCTTATTGTATATTACGGAACTACTAAAATATATAAGTATTAAGTTGGTTAAAAATAATAAAAATATTAAATATATTTTATTATAACCGTATCTTGACCGTACCCGTATCTTATTTTTTTAGATTTTGTTATATCACTGTATCCGTACGCGTAGAAAGTGAGTGAAAGCCGCCATACCCCTTGTATAGAAGTGAGAGAAACTCGAAAATGTCGTATGAGAAAAATGCTATTCTGCTGATATGTACTGCTGATACCTGCTTTCAAATGATTTTCACTAAAACGCAAAAGAAATGCATTTGAATAATGAATGTACTCTTCTCAGTAATGTATATAAAATATACAACAGTATTTCATACAACAAATTGAAGCAGAAATATAAGTAAACCTAAAGCAAGAAGTTTCTTGTCAAATATCATTCTTGTGTCAAGTCTATGAACAAACAATGAAATGCCACAAAAGAATCTGGATACAATCCAACATTAATTGACCCATCATCCTGAATAGCAGATAAGAGTTGGTATCATTGGAAAACCCCAAGAGCATCCTCAGACTTACAAGGGAAAGGAAATCTGAAAACAATCACGGACACAACAACTGAGTCAATCTGCTGCATTAGCTTATAAGGTTTTACAAGAATCACAGCAAAGTCGGGAGCTTCCAACTTTGCTTCCCAGGCTGCCAAGCTTTGAAACATGACCAAAGAATGTTGTTTATCCCCTTTTTAAGTGTACAACATTCCTAAAACATCTATAAGCTTTACTTTGGAGGGTATTTCAAATTTTAAAATAGCATCAATATTTCTTTAAAGCTGACCTCTTTGGGACCGGTGAAGAAGAGGGGAGGCTGGCCCTTTAAGACATCTGATATGACTGTTGTAGATGCTTGAACTCCTGACAATCAGCTCCAACTTCACTGAGCGCAATGAAAAGTTTTGGCACAATCTTAGCCAACATTAGCTTGAAGCCAACCGAATTTGAATTAGGATGGTTCTTATCGCTTATTGAGGCATCCTTTGTAAGGGAGCCGATAAGATAGCCATTCATGTAAGCATCACAGGCCTTGAGGATATAATAGCCACGCCTCTTGAAATGTTCTCTGACAAGCTCTTCAAAATCCTATACGAAGCAATATGACAATTTAACAATAAGAAGTTGAAACCTTTAACTGCATTGTCAGTCAACAAATCATATTCACTAAATGAATTGTATCGAAAAACTAATGCAAAAAAAAATGAGAAAGAAAATCAAAAGAACAACATGTGATTCAATTTGCAAGTTCAAAAATACAGTATTTTGCAATTGGGTTCAAAGGATGTAAATGAGGTTGGACAAGCTGGATAGGAATAGGCTGGATAAGCTGGATAGCAAACAAATCCCACCTACTTGTTTGGACAAGCTGGATAGGAATGAGGTTACAAATATAATTCTGTCACTTTTTTTAAGTCAGCATAAGTTGAAAAGTCAATAAACATTCCAAATGCATGAAGCAAAAATCAAACAGTGCCAAGCTTTATATCAGAATGATGAGAACCAATATTTGTGCTGCTGTAGTATGGTCTTGATATCATGACCTCTTGAAGTATGCAAAAGATTCATAAAAGAGTAACTATGTCATGCAGTGTGACAATACAATCACTATTAAAGTTTCAGCAGCTACATACTCTGTACCATGACACATATCCCTTAATATCTTAATTTAAGGGATTTAAATTCCTGTCCTCCATTTTGTTTTATAATTAACAAGTTTACCCCATTTGATAATGGTAGAACAAACTATGTTTACACTTGGAGTCACTCTTTAATCAAGTCAAGCTCGAGCCTAGGATTCATTTGAGCTCAGGCCAAGCTTGAGCAATGGTTCCATTCATTACACCTTAAGGGCTCGCTTGGTTGCCGTATTAAAAATAGATGGATTGGATAAAAGAATACAATCTAATACAATATAGATGGACAAAATACAAGATTAAATGGGGTATTAGAATAATCCGTAATTTTATCTAGTGTTTGACAATGTACAACATAAGCGTTGGATAGTAGTTATTTAATCCAAATCATTGTTTGGTTAAGGAATTATTTCATCGTATTAATGTTGAATTGACAAAAATACTCTCAATCAGTATTTTTTATGTTGATGATAGTTTGGTTCTACCAGTTGTAGGGTTATAATAGTAAATGTGTATAATAATACATTTGAGTTAGATTATAATACTACCTCTCTTAGTGGTAAGAAAATATTTCCATAATATAGATCTATGGTATAAAAAACATACGAAAACTATACGATTAGTATACGTTTTTAAAATTAATACGGAATCAAATTTGTCTGCCAAACAAAATATTAGACCAGATTAGAGAGTTTTAATTTGGTTTGACTCTGCAACCAAACGACCCCTAAAGGTAGTAGATGACAAGGTGAGGGAAGTTGTTGCAGATGATTCAACCATGAGCCACCAAAACAAGATAAATGATTTATCATAAAAAAATGTGGATTGAGGCAATCCTGAAAGACACAAAGATATGTGGTCTCTAGCATGATCGCAAGGAAAAAGAGATCAAGAAGCTCACCAAACCAGCTGAAACTAAGACCTTGCTGAGTCCATTTTAATCTAGGTTTTCACATTTCTAATATATAAACCGAGATAGAATATAAAGCAATAATAAGCTAAGACAGATAACTAAGCTTTTCTATTTTATCAGTTGACTGAAAAAGCCCATGAGACAGATGAAGGATGTTTGAATTTTCAAGGTGTTACAGTTTGGAATAGCGTTGATGACTATCATAACCAAACACGATGATATGTTGCAACTCAAAATACCCATAAGCCACACCAAGTATGGGCACCAGAAAGGAGAATTAGAAATAGTATTGATCAAAACAGCAATAGAAGTCAACACAATGTGGGTTTGGCACTAATCACCTTTGGGGGCCTCCGCAAAAGAAACATCATTGTCTTGCAGTTCAGCAGGAATGTGTTCTCGTTGTATGATAATGAGTTTTTCTCTCCCTCAGCCGTCCCAATTTGCTTATCATACCCAGCTTCGTTAAAATATGGCTTAGTATTTAGCACTAAACCCTGGAGTGAAACCAGGACTTGAAGGATGCTTGACGATGAAGGATCCCAGACTTCATTTCCTCTGCCTGTCCAAGTATTTAAAAGGCTAAGGCAAACTTTACCTTCTTCGTACAAATTTGGATTTATTCGCCAGCCACCAGAATGATAGTAAGCCGACTGCAACATAGTAGACTTCAAAATTAATTGCAAACATCATAATCTCTATTTTCAGTTCAAGGAGGTCTTCAAAAAAGCACACAAACCAGAATCAGAATTTAAGGTTCTGATTCCAATGAACAATCATCTAAAAGAGAGCAAATATCAATATTCTCTTACAGGTGGAACATCAGGGTACTCTGGCGGATGGCGAAAATCAAAGAAGAAAAGGCCATCTTGATAAGGTGTCCCATATGCTCCTACTATCACTGCTCTTAAAAGATCCATTCGATCTTCATAAACACGTACGTATATCCCATCTGTTTTGAATGTTCAACCATTTAAAACAAAAAGTTTCATTGAAAAATATCTAATTGGTATCCAGGATTTCAGGACACATTAGGAAGTTTTAACAATAAACTGGCACAAAGAATACCAGGCAGGTTATTCTGAAGGATATTCCAATCTTGTTGAACTTTCTTGAGCCACTTCCTTCCAGCATTATTCTGCAAGTTTGGAAACGGGTTCACCTTTAATAGGTCATAGAAATGTCTATGCAATAAGGACAAAAGGGCCCAAGTTTGAACAGGCAAGTTCTTCTATCAAAGAATGGAATGGGTTGAGAAGAATTCAGGTTAAATTCACAACCACTCAACCTATTGCAATTAGTGTTCAAAAAATAAAACCTATTGCAAATACCTTGAAGTGTTACTCCCATTTACACTGTCTTTTAATGGAGATTGAAGACTTCATATCAAGCACAATGTCAAAAGGAGAAGACAAAAAAGCTCTACCAATCATTCACATGATTTTCTTACAAACAAGAACAAAAGCCATCAAAACTGATAGGAAAAAGACCAATTTTTTAAGAGAAAAATGAATGAAGACCCAATACTTTTCTCAAACTCATGAACGACAGAATGCGCTGGAGTAAGAGAGACATAGTACTTGAAGTAGAGTTTTTAAGTATAATGATATAGTCAATCACTAGACAAAATAATAAACAACAAAGAAAGGTATGACTTACTTGTTCATTAGTACCAAAAAAATAATGGTCATAAGGATCTTTAGCAATATCAAAGCCTTTGAAACTGGATGATTTATTGGTGTATTGTGCTGACACATCTGATTCGTCAGGCTTCAAGTTGCGAAGAGCTTTGGTCACGTCCACCAAATCTGTGGCCTCAGCGACATTATTTTGCTCTCCTATACCATGGGAGGTTGGCACACCACTAATATGAGTGCCATTACATTTCTGGGAGCTAGATTCATCACCAGATTCTCCTCCCACAGAAGATTTAATCATCCGTGGAGATTGAATTTCATTTTCACCTACGGAATCCAAATTTACTGAATCAAGGTGTTTTCGACCCCTTGAGAATATTCCAGTGGCCAGTCTGGTCATAAAACCAAGTGCAGCTAGGGGAATAGAAAGAGCTCCATTACTTTCAGAATTTTCTGCTGCCATTGACCTCTTTTTGCTCTCAGGACTGAGGTCAGTAGCACCTTGCGACCCAAGCTCCTGAATACCAATGACATGCATCATTCATTTAACCAGAATAACAGGAAATAAAATATTGTTGTACAGAAAAGTGGATATAACATCCTAACAAAGCCAGGGTTGGAACACAACAACGCGAATAACAATTTTCTAAAGGCAAAAACACATTCAACGGCAAATTACAGACCTGACTTCAAGATGAAACATCCCTAAACAAAATAATCAAACCACCTGATCTATTACCCACAGTACCAACGTATATAAATCTCAAGTGTTAAAATATTTAGATCCATATTGTATCTATCTAAGATGATGACAGAACATGAAGTTTGCCAAAACACTCTCTGTAACTGGTGATCCAAATAATCAGGTGAGCACATCTTCAGTGGGAATCCCACATCATGCGCCAAACATCACAAATGAAAGGTTTAATCTCCAAAGAAAGACTCATTTCCGGGTATTTTTTTGTTGGTACTACAATTGGAAACAATGACAAACCAAAACCTACAGCTAAAGCTATTCTCAGTAAGACAGTTCAATTCTCTGAACAATATAAGGTATAGTAGAAGGATGTGTGGTAGAACCAGAAACATTAAATTCGAGATGAGTATATTCGTGAACCAGTAGAAGTCATGCCGGTAGGAAAGATAAATTAAGAGCAAGTTGACTAATGTCGGTTTGGATAGGTTCACAGAATACCTAATACTGTCCCTAAGGTATAGATATAGTAGAATGATGTGTAGTAGAACACCAGCAAGGAAAGTGACATGATAGCAATCGATGGTAAGGCGAGGGATAAATGTTGACCAATATTAAGTTTAAATGAAATAGTCAAAAAATGATAATGATAATAATCAGCATATGGCCCTTGATAGATCACAATGACAGAACACTATTCATGTGGTCAACCCCAAATAGTTGGGACGAGACTTTGTTTGATTGAGTTGACAATATATCCAGCAAATGTCATATAGCTCTCAGCAGGAAAAAGCTAATGGTCACATAAGGGCTTCCACTACTTGGAGGTTCATGCCTGCCTCAACCTATACATATCTTTTTTTAAAAATAAACAATAAAAATTATGAAAATGGAAGGGTATACGCACTAGGGAACCACCTGAAAGTTCAATTTGAGGAGAATAAGAACTCCTGAAAAACAAACCCAGTCCGATAGCTGTTTAAATTCCACAGCATTGAGCAGGCACATAAAGCATCAACATGAACAATGACAAGGAATTGCCTGAAACTAACTTGACTCTTATTCTAACTAAACACCCCACGTTATCCTAAGAAAGTACATCACACAAGAAAGTTCAATTCAAGAGAGCAAGAAAAATACTGTTCAAAGTAATTGTCAACCTCTATGGCACTATCAAGGGCATCATCCTCAACTGTCTCCCAGCTAGGCGCATCACTAACTTCACTTCCAGCCGCAATCGACTCATCATCATCACGACCGACAACATAAATTGCTTGAGGCCCAACCTGATATAAAACACAAAACTGTGTCCATCAAGAACTGTGACAAACTCCCTCACAACTAAACTGAATACAATCATATGGGGGAATACAAAAGAGAACAGATTAACAAAATTATCCTTCCTCAAAGATGAATCATGACCCTTCTACTAGTTTAATTGATGTCCACTTAGAATTCAAATACCAAATCAATGACTTCTATCCAAGCAATTAGACCATTTTATGTAGCTGACCCCAAAATCTTATATTAATTAATGATTAACTGGCAAGGTAACAGCCCTTATCTTCTTAAGTTTGCCAATTGGATAGAGATGGAAAGTAAAGAAGAAAAGTAGTTTTTCTATAATGTGTATGTAAAGACCAAATGATTGCAATTCACGATAGGATATCCATTAAAAAGTGAGTTGCAGTGATTGTACCGATGATACCATCCCATCAGCCCATGTAACTTGGATATCCCCATTTCTGAGCCCTGTAATGTTTCCTACCCAAGAGAGATCTGAGAATTCTACACAATCATCATCCACCAATTCACCTTCTATTTTCTTACACCCGGAGCGCTTCTTCATATCTCCTATAACCTTGTTTGGACAAGCCAGCTGCTTCAATTCCTCAGCAGCGTTCCCAGGGGAATCTATTGGCGCTGGTACAGAAACAGGTGACAGTCGAACAACTACATCCCCATAACAATAGTCATAATCTGGATGCCCTTCTAGCTCATACACACTTACCACTTCTTCCTTATCAAACTCTTTAGGATCTTCTGCCCTGGCAACTGGCTTTAACCACCTAACACAAGCTGTTCGTTCTATCGCGTTAACACTTTTCACAACCCCAACACGCCTTGTTTCATAAACATCATCGCTGTCATCTGTGGCCTTTTCCACCACATACTGTTCAGCAACAAATTCGTGATCACCAGGGTTATCAATTGGAATCAAAGTTGTTGAATCCCGCCCACGTTCTATCGTTCCATCCTGCCATGCCACATCAACTCTTGTTTTAGTATTAATAATCAAAAGGGCTCTTTCAAAATCCTGCTCTTTTTTCCGGGCCTTCTTGTCCCTCCTGACTACAACTTTACGGATCTTTTTTCGATGAAGAGGCCATGTTTCATGAATAGGCTCCTTCGAAACTGACAATGAGCTACTGCATGAACTAGATTCGGTAGTATAATTATTATCTTTATTTGCACGAGTTCCATCCAATGCAGCTTCTGCAGTAATGTCCATGGAATCACCATTTGCATTTGATTCCTCTGGAGCAACCACTTCTGAATCACATTCAGATCTTGTTTGAGCAGACTCTGAATCGTCATTGGTCGAATCATGGAGTTCTAGTTTCGATAGGCCCTTGTCCAAGGGAATGGAGGACGATAATGCAGGCGATGGGAGAAGACACCAGTCACCCAATTGCCAGTTTGCATGCATAAAACAGGATAACAATTTCAAGTTCTTTGGACTCTGCTCTTCAGCCGGAGTAGTAGAAGAGTCGGGCCCATACCCAGCAGATGCAATCCAATATATAAACACAGACCCAACCGTAACTTTAGTTACTGTCCCCTCCATCCGGTTAGCTCTCCACAAACCAGATAGCCACCTAGAATTCTTGAAAACAGATGAAGAGCTCGCCTGTACACGCTGCCCAGGGTAATAAGGGAAGTGTCCATCTTCAAGCATATTCTTACCAACTGGTTTGAGACGCAGTGGATCGGCCTTCACAACTTTGCACATAGAACTATCATCAAACAATACTGTTACGTTATCTAAAACATCATCAATCCTACCTAGCCAGGGACCCAGGACAACATAATCGCCCACAGTAAAATCCCTAACTCGTTTTAAGTCCCTGGATGAGACATCTTTTATTACAGATCCATCTGCAGTTAATAAATCAACAGAAATATTCACATCAACCACAAGACCCACTTGGCCCATTGGGTCAGAACTAGAAGCAATGTAATCTCCATGTAAGAATCCCCTATCAACAACTGTGACACCATCAATATTTTGCGTTGTCTGAGATTCGTCCATCCAAAGCACTCTAACTTGGTCAGCTGGAAGAGGAGTGCTCTTATAACTGCCACCATCTACGTTCCCATCAGCACTCCCCTTATCATTTTTATTGCCATCCAGACCATCTTCCTCATTTGGACCAGCCTCATCATCATCATCATTGTTGTCATCATCATCGTCCTCATCTTCATCGTCGGGTATGCTGCTATCTGAATCAGTATCACCAGCAACCTCAGTAACAATCCCAATGTTACCACTAGTGTTGCTCCTTACTACATCTTGTCTATAAATATAAGAGACATGATGTAGGTTCCCGACAACTTCCCCAGGTTTGCTCTCAGAACCCACACTTTGATGAGAACCAGATTCCTGACAGCCCTCATTCAAAGTGGCTCTGTCATTCCCAGTTGTTGAAGGTTCTTCAACTTTGGAGGCATCATAATGTTGTTCGGTTTTCATCTGCTAAACATATAGAAGGAAGCAGTGTGGAAGTTATTTGAAATCCTGAGGCTTTGTTCCTGAGTATAAAGGATCCTTTGTAAGCAACCTTATAAATTTTCACATTCAATGAGAGTATGTGCATTATTTAAATTGGTTAACAGGAAAAATAGCAAGCACCCAAATTTTTTCTTCATCATTGTAATGAAATAGGAAGCATATACCCAATAAAACCCGAAAAAAAGGAAGCATATACACGAGACAATCCAATATAATTCCTAACTATAGTTTTCCTTGGAAGCTATTTTTCAAATGAAGTTGACATTTTAATCCTATATGTGAAACACAATAAACCCAACCTATATACTTTACATCACTAATTCTCTATCATCTACATTGGCAATTGGTTTTAACATATGCAATACAAAAAAACAATGATAGACTTTGACTTCACCACCCTTACTCAAAACCCCAATGATGCCATATTGGTAATGGCAGAATGTATTGTTGTTGAACAAAAAGAACAACATTGAATTCAAGACTTCCACCTTAGATGCTAACAAGGGGAAAAAGAAGGAATTATGTTCATACCAATTCGATTTTAGGATTTAAAACTTAGGATTTGAATCCACATTTTCTTTTCTTTTTCCTCAATTACTTCGTCGACCAAACAGAGGGTAAGACAATCAATCCTGCTATTAGGACAAAAAAAATCATAGAAAAAATCAAAAACAGTACAGAAAGACAAACCCCGAAACAGCTCCACGATTTACTAAACAAAAAATTATAGCTCAAAATCGACACAGTACAAACGGGCTAAATTTCATGCTTGCTCGACTCATTGAACGAATCGTTTTAGAAATTGTACAAATCAACGATTCTCATTAATATCGATGGTGCTGGAGGGATGAATATATACATGTATGTGTATATATATATATGAGTATATATCTATTTCAAATATGTGGAAATGTGTACAGCTGATTGGAGTTGGAAAGATGAGAGAAATGGTTATACCTTTGAAATCGGATGATTTGAATGAGAGAGAGAGAAAGAGAGGAATGAATAATCGAAAAAGGGCACAGAACTAAGAGCTTTTGATGCTTCTCAACAAATGGCCATTCGCCGTTGAACCGATCGTAGAAAATCTATATGACTATATATATATATATATATATATATATATATATAAAAGGTGTATCGAAGAGACGAAGCAAAAGCGGTGGGGTGAGGGACATAAATGTCATTACGTGCCGTAGAAGTGTGTTTGATGGAAATGGAATATGCTGGTTAAATTACTGACGATACCCTTCAGTTTTTTAAATATTACAAACGAGTATTAAACTGGTTAATCCATCTGAACCGTCTAATGCGAAGACAAATCTAAGAGTCAAGGAAGTAAATGGGTCTGACCGTTAGATCAGTTTGTTTTTTCGTGTGGGGATCTTTTGGTTTAAAATTTATTAAATTCATAATTTTAATTTAAATTATAGGATTAATAATAATTTTAATCCATAAAGTATACTCATTTTATTTTTATCAGTTATGTCCTCATTGTATTAATTAGATTAATTTGATCCCTAAAATTTTAATTTGTGTCACTTTAATCTCTAAACAGACAATTTGTTAAATTTTTTAACGGAAGTAATCACGTTCCATTCTTTCAAACAGTATCACATGTCCATTGTGCAATCATTCTGTCAAAAATTTAACAGTCTATTTATGTAGGGATCATTTAAACACAAATTTAATACTTTAAAAATCAAATTAAGAAAATTAGTATTTTAGGGATCGAACTGACAAAACGTAAATACTTTAAAGATCAAAAATGTTATTATCCCTAAATTATAAGAAGACTAAAATGTTAGGAACTATTAAATCGATAAAAAAAAATGTAATTTAGTGTATGAAACTCATGTTACTACTTAGTATAAGAAAGGTTAGATATATCGAATTTATTGATATTCTAATTTTAAATCTTGATAAAGCAAAGTATAATGCTTGCTTAAAGGAAGGGAATAGATAAGGTATATTTTTCAAAAGGAATAAGTGTTTAGGATAAACACCAATTAAAGATGCAAGAGTTTAATGTGTACGTCTAACTTTTTGAGCTCCAATTACAAAATTTGAATTGAAAAATAAGTTTTAGCTATGATATGATCTTTAGATTATAAATTGGATTAAAAATTTAGATTAATTCTCAAGTTACATTATTCGAATTAAAATTCATATTCAATTCGGGGTAAACTCCGATTAGATTCTAGTTGCTTGCTTCGAAATCCCAATTGGAACACTTCCAATTTTCATTTTAATAATTGATTGTGTAAAAAAAATTATATTAAAATTAGTTACATTAAAAATACAATATTAACCGACCGTTTAACCAAATTCAACTTGTACAACAGTGAGCAAGGTAAGCTCTCATTTCATAATGTTGCACAATAGGGCTTGGCTCCTCTGCAGTTAGAGACTAACAGCACGTTGTACTGTTAGTTTATACGACGTCGTTCCATTAAAAAGTCACAACACAGTTGCTCTCTTGCAAACAACATAGTCAAAATTAGTGAGGCAGAGAGGCTTCAACCCCCAACCACAAATCTCTGTCCGAATATCAACCATTGACAGACTCCAANCACAGTTGCTCTCTTGCAAACAACATAGTCAAAATTAGTGAGGCAGAGAGGCTTCAAGCCCCAACCACAAATCTCTGTCCGAATATCAACCATTGACAGACTCCAGTGCTGGCAATAGTGAATACGAAGCTCCAATTCAAATTCCCTTGTGGACATTAAGACTCATATTTTTTGGAAGGATCAAGACTTAGGTTTGATTTCAAACTAAAATCATCTTCATATCAGTAGATCAAGAAGGAACAATTATGTATGTTTTTGAAACTAATAATGCAAAATCGTTAGTGATGGATATAATTCAGATAACGGAGCACAGAGTCTAAACCTCGGACATCCCTTCTCGGCATCCATGGGGATATCCAAATTCATCAGTCATCACATGCATGATCCCGAATAAGGAAAAGTCTAACACATGGCGTCATATACCTGACATCCCACATGGGCTTCAAGATAGCTGACACACGTCAATAACTAAAATTCTTGCATGGGAATAACGTCATACACACTAAAATCAGGAAAGATTACCCTTAATTATTACTGTTTAAGTCATTGTCACACTCAACCTACACTATAAAAACCTTNCCGTTGAACCGATCGTAGAAAATCTATATGACTATATATATATATATATATATATATATATATATAAAAGGTGTATCGAAGAGACGAAGCAAAAGCGGTGGGGTGAGGGACATAAATGTCATTACGTGCCGTAGAAGTGTGTTTGATGGAAATGGAATATGCTGGTTAAATTACTGACGATACCCTTCAGTTTTTTAAATATTACAAACGAGTATTAAACTGGTTAATCCATCTGAACCGTCTAATGCGAAGACAAATCTAAGAGTCAAGGAAGTAAATGGGTCTGACCGTTAGATCAGTTTGTTTTTTCGTGTGGGGATCTTTTGGTTTAAAATTTATTAAATTCATAATTTTAATTTAAATTATAGGATTAATAATAATTTTAATCCATAAAGTATACTCATTTTATTTTTATCAGTTATGTCCTCATTGTATTAATTAGATTAATTTGATCCCTAAAATTTTAATTTGTGTCACTTTAATCTCTAAACAGACAATTTGTTAAATTTTTTAACGGAAGTAATCACGTTCCATTCTTTCAAACAGTATCACATGTCCATTGTGCAATCATTCTGTCAAAAATTTAACAGTCTATTTATGTAGGGATCATTTAAACACAAATTTAATACTTTAAAAATCAAATTAAGAAAATTAGTATTTTAGGGATCGAACTGACAAAACGTAAATACTTTAAAGATCAAAAATGTTATTATCCCTAAATTATAAGAAGACTAAAATGTTAGGAACTATTAAATCGATAAAAAAAAATGTAATTTAGTGTATGAAACTCATGTTACTACTTAGTATAAGAAAGGTTAGATATATCGAATTTATTGATATTCTAATTTTAAATCTTGATAAAGCAAAGTATAATGCTTGCTTAAAGGAAGGGAATAGATAAGGTATATTTTTCAAAAGGAATAAGTGTTTAGGATAAACACCAATTAAAGATGCAAGAGTTTAATGTGTACGTCTAACTTTTTGAGCTCCAATTACAAAATTTGAATTGAAAAATAAGTTTTAGCTATGATATGATCTTTAGATTATAAATTGGATTAAAAATTTAGATTAATTCTCAAGTTACATTATTCGAATTAAAATTCATATTCAATTCGGGGTAAACTCCGATTAGATTCTAGTTGCTTGCTTCGAAATCCCAATTGGAACACTTCCAATTTTCATTTTAATAATTGATTGTGTAAAAAAAATTATATTAAAATTAGTTACATTAAAAATACAATATTAACCGACCGTTTAACCAAATTCAACTTGTACAACAGTGAGCAAGGTAAGCTCTCATTTCATAATGTTGCACAATAGGGCTTGGCTCCTCTGCAGTTAGAGACTAACAGCACGTTGTACTGTTAGTTTATACGACGTCGTTCCATTAAAAAGTCACAACACAGTTGCTCTCTTGCAAACAACATAGTCAAAATTAGTGAGGCAGAGAGGCTTCAAGCCCCAACCACAAATCTCTGTCCCAATATCAACCATTGACAGACTCCAGTGCTGGCAATAGTGAATACGAAGCTCCAATTCAAATTCCCTTGTGGACATTAAGACTCATATTTTTTGGAAGGATCAAGACTTAGGTTTGATTTCAAACTAAAATCATCTTCATATCAGTAGATCAAGAAGGAACAATTATGTATGTTTTTGAAACTAATAATGCAAAATCGTTAGTGATGGATATAATTCAGATAACGGAGCACAGAGTCTAAACCTCGGACATCCCTTCTCGGCATCCATGGGGATATCCAAATTCATCAGTCATCACATGCATGATCCCGAATAAGGAAAAGTCTAACACATGGCGTCATATACCTGACATCCCACATGGGCTTCAAGATAGCTGACACACGTCAATAACTAAAATTCTTGCATGGGAATAACGTCATACACACTAAAATCAGGAAAGATTACCCTTAATTATTACTGTTTAAGTCAATGTCACACTCAACCTACACTATAAAAACCTTCTTAAATGAAGAGTTAAGGTAGGTAACAATTGAAAAATAATACTCTCTCTCTCTCTATCTATCTCCATAAACGCCTTATTTTCTATAAGTTATTTTGGTTAATAACATGCAAAACTAACTTGGGCAATCGGAGGTGGTTTGGTTGGGACCACAACGATCTCTTACTCTTGAATTCCCTTGATAGGACCAGAGCCGTACTGTTGCTGCATCTCGAGCACCGCCCTCACAACTCCATGACTACCGGTCAATATACTGTTTTGATTTAGTGATTGTTCCATCAATTGGTGTTGTTTGTGGGAAATGACTTTTATCATTTTTCAATCTCTCCCAAATTGAATATTCCAACCTCTTCACAATAATTGAACCATGGCCACTCTACAGGCAAGAGAAAAAATGACCCGATTTGCAAGAACGCCTAAAACATTAACCTTTCTAAAAATCAACCTGACCGAGCCTTAGTTAAGCCTATACAAGGTGAGGTCGTCACCTTGACCCAACAAGTGAAGGAGATGGTTGAAGTCCTCAAAGTTGTCCTCCAACAACAATATCAACCACTCATTCCTCTGATCTGAGCTCAATTAGGGGATCTAAAATATGCTCTTAATAACAAAGCTGAAACCACCACCAAAAGGTAACAAACTCCTTTCACCCTAGCCATTGTCGTCTGTCCTTTACCACATGGTTTTTCAAATGCCCCATGTTGAAAGTTTTGAGGGGGCAAGGGCCCAATGGATCACCTCCAAAAGTTCAAGGACCTGATGACGTTACATGTCTTTTCCAGACGAGATCATGTACCAAGCATTCCCAACCACATCGATGGGGAATGCTTGCATGTGGTTTAGTAAATTGAAATCTGGTACTATCTCCAACTTCTCCCAGTTAGGCCAGTCTTTTATGTCACACTTCGCTTGAGGGCAAAAACATCGAAAAACAACCACCTATCTTCTGAATATTAAATAATAAGAAAGTGAGTCTCTTAAAAATTATGTCACTCATTTCATTAATGAGGCCTTGCAAGTAAAGGACCTTGAGGATCGGGTTTCCCTCATAGCCTTTTTGGGGGAATCAGTACCCCAACCTTGTTTATTCCCTACTAAAATCACCACCCAAAACCATAACCGACCTACTCCTCAAAGCCTAGAAACCATGAATGTAGAAGACACAATCAACGCCCGACATGGGTCTTTCTCTATTAGTCAACCCGAGAAAAAGAGAGTCGAGTCATCCAAAAAAGTTGTCCAGCCAGACCCAAAAAAAAAAAAAAATCCAGAAGAGGGAACTCACAAGAAGGGACTGAAAACGCCCCACATTCTGGACACTAAAGCATGATCTTTGGAGTGTCCCCCCTTTGAGCTGAACTCCCAATCTCTAAACAAGAAGAAGTTTCAAGGCTTTCAATTCTTGTTCGAATCAGGGAGACCTAATGTAAGCTTGGCTATCCTAGGATGGGTACTCAAATAGAAATATCCTTTATGGGTACACTCTTTTACTTTGTAACGGTAAACAAACTCCGCTAAAGTAATTGAGTGATGCCCCCATTACTCAATCTCCATAAAAGCCATCAAACTGATAAGGGTCTTATAGGCATTAGGAACCACCTGACAAGGAGACATAACCAACCAGGACAACACAGACCTAATAAAAGAAGGAATTGAGAACTAAAGACCGGCCTGAAGAGCTAACTTAAGAAAACATACCGCACCATACAAAGGGGTACAAGCTTTTTCATGAGTAGAGAGTAACCTTTCCTTCATTAAATCATGTAAGTTATATCGATGTCTTACAAACCCTATAGTGTCCTAAGTATATCGACACTCAATTTCATGGGCCTCCCAAAGAGAAAACCTATCGAAGGAAGGGGAAAAAGTAATCACCTAAATTTGAGAACCGTCTAAAAGTAATCACCTAAATTTGAGAGTTTCAAGAGGAGGCTTACCAGAAGGTTCTAGGGGGTTGTATGGGCTAACAACACTCTCTGGCTTACTGTCACTATATACCAAAATGGGCTTGACGTTCATAAAGAAGAAAAGAAAATAGAAGAATGAAGCAATACTAGAAGTCGAGGAAGACAAAAACAAAGTAGAGGAAAAAGATGGAAGGAGGTATTTATACCCTCTACCAAGGGCCAGATTCCTTTGATCCAACAAATGGGAGCCCAAGGGCCAGAAGAATTAAGGGGAATGTGACACGTGGAAGCGGTTAAGACTAATCATGCATGACTTGAAAGGACAGTGTCACAAATGCACCTCAAAAAATAAAAAGGCGCCAAAAAACCATCTATTCAAAATCCAAGAAAAAATTAAAAAAAAAAAATCATTGCAACCATCAAAGACAAGATCCAAGGAAATCAAAATAAAACAAATAAATTTCCAAATAACCATAGGATTACAAGGAATCAGGGGCTGATGTATATAATCCAAATAACGGAGCACAGAGTCCAAACCTTGGATGTCCCTTCTCGGCCTCCATGGGGATCTCTAAAGACGTTAGCCATCACTTAAATGATCCCGAACAAGAATAGTCTGACACATAGCATCATATACCTGACATCCCACATGAGCTTCAGAAGAGCTGACACACGTCAGTAACTAAAGCTCTTGCATAAGAATAGCTTCATACACACTCAAACCAGGAATGATTACCCTTTAAGTTAAGATCACACTCAACCTACACCTTAAAACCCTTCTTAAATGAAGAGTTAAGGTAGATAACAATTGAAAAAGAACTCTCTCTCTCTCTCTCTCAATTATTCTAGCCAATAACCTACAAAACTAACTTAGGCATTGGAGGTGGTTCGGCTGAGACTACGCCGATCCCTTACTCTTAAATTCTCTTGACAGAACCAAAGTCGTATTATTGTTGCATCTCAAGCACCGACCTCAAAACTCCATGAGTACCATTCGACATACTAGTCTGATTTACTGATTATTCCATTAGTCAGCCATACAATAAACACGTTATAGCCATTGATATCAATAACATCATAAACTAAAACTATGTATAAAAAGTAGTTCCAATTAAATATAAATTCGTGTTCAAAATGGCTCTCTCAATTTATCAGTTTAATTTTTCCACATCTTGAAAGATTTGATCAAGATGATAACTGAACAGGATGATCGATTTGATCTTATCAACAGATAAAATTAGTGCATATTGGAAAAGGGAGAAATTGTGGGAGACGATGCCGGAGTAGTTAATCAACGAGAAAATGAGATTTGGGTCTTACAATTTTAATGGGTGGTCAGAGTATCTCCAATTATGATTTAAATTTAAATTAATATTTGAGTAAAAAGTTGGATTTGATATAAAAATGACTCTAATAAATAAACTCAAATTTAAAAAACAAGAAATTCAAATTTAAATGAGGGTAAATCCAAATTTTAAAAGAGTAACCATTAAATCTTTAAAAGACGGTGAAATATCACCATTAAAGATTTGAGTGAGAATTTAAATTTCTCTTGATTTGAATAAAAAAATAAGTCTCTCTTGATTTAGTGTAAGTTTAAGACAAAGATTAAAACACATTTTTTGAGCTCTTTTATTTAAATTTAAATTCGAATCTAAATTTGAATTAAGGTTAGAGACAGCCTAATACTAAAATTATGAGGGGAATAGGGTGAGAGATTAATGAGTCTAAAATTATGTGGAAGAATATCACAAATCTCTCGTGGAAGAGGGATGATCTTTGGTTGTTCAACTGATGAAGAGTGAATTCAGATTGCTACTGGGACGACGTCGTATAAACTAACAGCACACCGTGCTGTTAGTCCCTAAATGCAGAGGAGCCAGACCCGCACAAGGGGGAGATCTAAATATTATATGCGATCCACGAATCGGAGGTGAACCAGGGAAGATGATCGTATGCGTCGCCGTTGTCGGCCACCAGGTCCGCCTTCTACGTAGTAAATTTCTCTCGTCCATTAGTGCATCTCTGTGTCTATATGCATGTATTTATATGGATCGGACTGATGTGCAATAATTTTCCGGCGAGCAGAACAATCCACTGTACATTCAGAGCTTCACCGAAGCAGATGATGCTCTTAAGCTTCATCACATAGTTCATTGCTCCCTAGACGTGGTTGACGAAAGAGGTTCTCTCTCTCTCAGACACACTCGTGCGTATATATACGTCAGCGTGTTTATGCATATGTACGAACACGACTTGTTAGATCCTTTGATTTTGCTGATACGCATCTTCAATTTTATCTTATGAATGGGATTGAGGGTTTCGGATAAGTTTGATTTGCAGGATTTGCTATATGCACATTTGATTTGAATCACCATAGATCTATCTTATTGGCGATCACAATTTGTTTTCTATAAAGAAAAATAAGTTTGCTATGTATTCGTTGGGCATCGGCATGACATTGCGCTGCCTCAGCTTGAGTTTCTGTGTATTTAAAGTGGATTAATCCTTCACTTAATCGAGAATAGAAGCCAAATTCTTCTATTATTGGAACACCATTTGAGAAAAACAATAACAATAACCTTGTCTATTCTAGGAATTGCATTGCAAATTGACACGGCATGAATATTGATCTGTTTCGTTTTCCTAATCTGTTTATGCCAAATTTCAGAAGATCACAGTAACAAGCTGCAGTCCATTCTACAAAATATTCCATTACGTCAGATTGAGGAATATTGGTTGTTTTCATTGTATAGGCACTATGGAAGTCATAACAAACTACGTTAGATTCTATCTTTTGGAGGAGCTGATGATCGAATCTTCTGACTTGAAACTAAGGGAATAGACACCGTTGTTAGTCACCTTATTCATGTCATTTGATATCTCTCTTTGAATAATGGCACATGGTATTACTTGATCATATCACTGGTGTGTGGGAAGCCCTAGATTTTGGAAAGTTTGCTAGATTGGACAAGTTTAGAGCATTAGTTGGTCACAATTGATTTTCTCACCACCTAGTTCTCAAATGTTCTAGTGAGCAAGACATTATTAATGCGGCTTGTTCCACCAAATTGTCCTCAAACTAATATACTTAATCCTCAATTACCAGAAACACAGTTATCTCAGGTTATTATCAGAACAGATGACCTTTAAATATAGCTGAATAGCATGTGAATTTGTGTAGTCCTTGGTTTTATATTTTTACTGATAGCATTGTAGCCTGTAGGTGAGCTAAGCATGTATACATTTTGATCTGTATGTGTTCATACATAACTTGATTTGCATAGAGTGGCATCCTCAGTGGTAGTAAGAGATAATTGACTTTTATCCATTAGATATAAAATGGTTCAATGACATACTAATTATGTTATGGAGATCAGGAATGAAGTCTTTTGGTGCTGCGGGTGTTTAGTTTATCTTTGTCTATGTTTTGAGGAGTTTATTGACTTGTGTCAACTGTTTTTTCCATGTATAGTGAACAATCCGAAAAAATCTGGACCGATGCTCAATGAGACATTTCTTGGTCTACTTTATCCAACTGAAAATTACAAAGTGTAAGTAAGCTGTGGTTCTGTTCTGTGCTTATGTTGGCTAATAGATCAACAAATGCAGAACAGTAAAGCAAAGGAAAAAGAAAAGGGTTGTTTACTTCATGTTTGCATTCTTAAGCCCATGTTCATTTAGTATTTTCTCACACTGTAAGCTATATGTAGGTATGGTTATTTGACCAACACGAAGGTGAAGTTCATATTGGTTACAACCGATCTTGACGTCCGAGATGCAGATGTGAGAAATGTGAGTGGTTGTGTACTATTTTGGACTGCTATACTTTCAGTTTTGTTGCTTCAAGCTATGGTTATGTTGCCTTTTTCTGGAAAGCAGAATGTTATTTCATCTTATGTTATTCAGACACAAGGACACTCATAGATTGTTATAGCCAAGAACATCAGTTAACATCACAATGAAGCCTACAATATACATATATATGTGTGTGTGTGTGAAAAAGAAGCTTACCCCAAAAACTCTTATGAGGTTATTATAGGAAAAAGGTAAGAGTGCAGTGAAAACTACCTCAATCAATGTGAAAAAATGCACTTCCTCAGATGATCTCATATTTCTTTCCCCTCAACTGCACCATTCCAGGTACGAAATGCATACCTCCAATGCCTTTCTCCTCCTCTAGTTCCAACAACTCTGCCCCAGTTACACAACAAATCACACAGTATTCCAAACATGACCAAGTAGACCCAGACCAAAAAAATGAGGCTCCTAATATCCTGTGTCATCACTATTTTACATATGATCTCAGCCTTCAAGTTACAAAATTAGTATTGCTGCCATTGCTACGATCCTCCTAAACGTGCACCGGGCTTCGGTGCTGCATATACCTCATCCAGAAAAAGAGAAGGAACACCCTTCACAGAGCGACGAATCATACATTGACTAAATACCTGCCATGGCTAGCCTCTTTTCATCTCACCTACTCTGTCCTATTTGCCCTAACATCCAAATCATGCAAAAGTTCTTGCATATGATTCATTGCTCCATGACCCATTCCTGTAATGTTTGCAATGCCTGATAAAGCCAGGATTCCAAACAACTCCAATGTTCAGGAAATGCACTTATTCAGCAATTGAGGTTTCCTCAGCGACAGCTCTCTTGAAGAGTTCAGGAAACTCGAACTGCAGCACTCCCATCACACCATAATCATACCACAATCTGATTCTCTTCCCATCCTCCTCATTCAAGTATTTCACAAACTCATTTCAGAACTCTAGGATGTGCTATTATGGGGGTGGAGACAAAGGGCATTATTATTTTCAAACCAAGTTCTGGTCTGATCTGTAGATCAAGCTTGCATATACATTTATATGAACATTGAGCTAAACTACCATTTGCATTTGATGGAGTATTTTCTTTGTCAGTAGCCAAGCATGACTCAACTTGCAAACTGATTTTTACAGTAGCTTCCTTCTGGTTATTTACCTTTGAAGCTTCTTGCCTCTTTTATCTGCTGGTAATAATGCAGGGAAGTTGGAATTCTTCTCTTTGGTTATTGCGCACAGAGTAATAAGACTTTTTGGAGTTTGGATTTTTTCACTGCTAGTGTTGGTTCTTTTTCCCTTCTTTTAACTCTGGGGTTGTAGTATGTATCCGCAAAAGTTTCTAAGAAATAATATCTAACTTTTACTTATGTTTTGGTTTAATCTACTGAATAGTTTTTCGGGAGATTCCATGCTGCATATGTGGATGCTGTGTCTAACCCATTTCATGTTCCGGGTAAAAAGATAACATCCAGAACTTTTGCTGAAAGGGTCAGCAACATTGTCAAATCATTTGGGTTGAGTTCTGCTGGGTGAGTGACTGCCACTGGTTTAGAACTTGACATTCTCAGATCCTCCTTTATAGAAGTGTTGGAAGCAACTTTTACTTCCCCTTGTTATATTTGTACATTTATTGGCAGCTAAATTTGGAGTTCAGATGGACTCAATTAATTTGAATTTCTAGATGACATATTCGAACGTCTTTTATGACCTTCACTACTCTTATCTCGAGAACTGGAAATCAAAATTACATTAGTGCTGATGTTGTTGTGATATTTGTTTCCCCCATCTTTGATAGATATGCGTTCCCTATGATTGACTTCTGTTCCTTCTCATGTTCCCCCTTATAAATGTGCAGAGGGGCCGCCACCTCCTGCTGGGCAACAATCCCCATAAAAGGAAAATAGGATATCATAGCCAGGCAAACATTTTACATTTTCATCAATTAATGATGCAATTCAACTTTGATATTAGGGGTGCAACTTGGATGAATTGGGAGGCCGAAGAATCAACCCTAGCACAACCCTACTTATATAATCTTTAATCTGAACCCGACTTCAATCCAAGGGATTCAACTCGAGTATTGCCGCGGACTTGGGTTGAATTCGAGTTTTTTAATTTTCGGGTTAAATTTGTATTGAATTCAGGTTTTAGTGCAATCTTGATAAGCATATCAATCCATTTACTTTAAATCAGCAACAAGGCCACTACTCAGCAACAAATAGCAAAAATCAACAAGCATCAACGGCAACCAAACAGCATAGCAGAATTACGAAAAAATTGCAGAAATAAAAAAAAAAAAACAGAGAATATGAAGGTTCTCCGCTAGGCCAGCACCTCACCAAGACATCACACAGCCACTACAAATGAGTTCTAGTGCTTGTGCACAATGGAAAGCCAATCTCAGATCTTGAGTATATCAAAGAAACCACAACAGTCACTGCCCATCGCCACCACCACTACTGCCATCACAATCATTGCTCATCGCCAACACACCCACCAGATCTGAGATGCTATAGCCACTAGATTTGAGATGCCATAGCCACCAAGGCTTTGCGCAGATCAAGGCTGGTCTTCGTTGTGGTTTTCGGCACAGATCAAGGTTGAGAGTGAGTGAGAAGGAAGGCTAAAGAGTTAGAGAGAGGCTGAGAGATGGAAACAGAGAACAAGGGAGAGAACAAGAGACACAGAGAGGAGCAAGAAGAGATAGAAGGCCAAAACCCTAATGCCTAATGCTGTATATATATTTGTTGGGTTCAGGTTAAAGTCTCAAACTCGAGGCTTGTCCAAATTCAATTCGGATTGAATTTTTTTGTCCAAGCTTAATCCAAGTATTAAAAATAGAAAATTGTGAAAAAATATACCGTTTTATACTTATTTGTATAAAAATACATCAATATAAAATATATGTGTATAAATACTTTTGTGTGTAAATGTTTGGTGATGAGATACACTTTTACTAATTTTTAAATTTTTCTTTTACATAATTGCCTTTTTCTTTTGTTAATGGGAAACAAATTTGGGAGTTATATTAAGGCTTCAGTTTCTTAAATTTATGGGATAATATTTTTGAATTTTAAATTATATCTTCCTCTTTTCTTCCTCTTTCATTCAACTGAAGTTATTCAAACATTCACGTCTTCTCCACATTTGTAAAAATTTTTTTTTTTATAAATCGTAATGAGAAATATATGTTTCACCTTATATAATATCATTGATTGTTATGGGTATTTTTTTCCATGGATATTTTAATTTTAAATTTATATAAATGTTATTTGATATGTTTATGAGTAACAGTGGTACATGTCGCATGACATAGTGGTATACGACAATATCACAGTGCAATAAGACAATGTCACACTGATACAAATCAATATCACATTGATACATGCCAATGTCACATTGTTGTGAGAATGCAGTTGTATATGACTTCTTTGTTTTTTTTTTGGCAAATAATCGAACAGTTGGTGTGCATGTAGTACCAAACACCAGAAGCAGAAAGGTACTTGAGGGAAAAAAATGTAGATAAAATAAAAAAGTTTAAAGAAACAACATTTTTTTTGAATTATCAACTTCTTTTTCAAAAACTTCAACGATCTCAACCATTGTTCTTCTCTACAATGCATCTTCTTTTACAACACTTTTCAACACTCTCACCGGTCTTTCTTTATCACAATGTTCGGCTTCTTCTTCAGCGATGAAAGTTTGGTGTGGTCGTTATCGTCCAATATCGAGCTTTTCACTTATTCATAATGAAGCCATCAAAAAATAAAAAACCATTTTGAACAAGACATTTTGATAAGAATGAAAATTTTAAAGAAGTTTTCTCATCAATCTTGGAAGAACTCACATTCTGACGATATTGATTGAGTTTATGGGTAACATTTTTTATCCTTGATGTTTTGGCTATGAGGGCAAATCTTTAGGAAACTGTCCCTTATACAAAAGGGGATAATTTAGACATCTATGTGTTGTGTACTTTTTGACTGATATTTTTAAATGTGATATTTTTTATTTTATATTTTTTTAAAAAAATACCGACTCCCTGAAATCCCTATTAAAAATTCTAACCCAAACCCTATTTTTTTCGGATTGGGCTCGAATTGAATTCGAATTGGCCTCGAATTAGCCCACCCAAGCAGAGTTATCAGAACCAGACCGGACCGGCCGGTCGGACCAGTTCAACTGTGAACCGGGACCCTAACCGGTCTGGTTCCTTAGTTGAACCGCTTAAGGAAGCCAACCGGCTAAAAAATCGAAAAACTAGCCGATTTTTAACAAAAATCGTAAACCACTGATTTTATAAAAACCGAACGGTTTAATGTCTATTTAAAAATTAAATTACATAAATAAATTTTTTTGCCCTAAATGAGTAAATAGTTAATTTTTTTTAACCTTATTCTTGAAAATATTATAAATAACACCCCTTCTTTTTCTTTATAATTTACTTGAACCTCTTTACTTTACTTTAAAATACAATAACCCCCACTTTGTTACTTAATTTTATGACAAATTTTATGTATTTTATACATATTTTATATTTTTTAGCTAAATTATTAATTTTTATAATTATTATATATATTTTTTTATTATATGACCGGTCCGACCAGTTGACCTAACGGTTGAACCAGTGAACTATTGACCTGGTCCCCTTGCCGGTTCGATGACCGGTCCGGTTATGATAACATTGCACCCAAGTTGCACCCCAATTTGATATAACCATCTAGGGGAAAACGGAGATACTTTTCCAACATTCCTGCAATCCTTAAAAAACATGGCTACCTCGTCTGTCATTCAACAAAATAGGTAAGAGCTCGATGGATGGCCTTACCTGGCCACCAACACTGGTAGTCATCCATACAGGGGTGGGTTTGGTAGTTTATTAGCAGATATCCAACAAGTCACTAAAAAAGGCATCTGATATCACCTACAAAATCAGGATAACAAACATTGCTACAGTGCAGTTGTGTGGTCATTCACCCTGAAGCAAATATATTATGTTTACCACTCAATCAGTCCGACAAGAAAGAGCGGGTTGCCATCAACCTGACCACACAAAGCAGCCTAAACATAGAGAATTCTTAAAAGGATGAATGCTAGAAGAGGCAGGGTTCCAAAATATAATCTAAAAGAATGAAATAGTAATTGCTCAGACCTGCAACTGGAACCAGATAGAAAAAGGCAAATGCAATCACGGATGATAGTCGTTCTGTCCTTGGAAATCAAAACATCCTCGTAGAAGGTATTTCAATGAAACTGCTGCACTGCTATGAGAAAGCGTTGCTAGGTGCGCAGAACATGTAACCAGACGCCGACAAACATTGTTAAAACTCATCATCATCTTCTTCGGCTATATGCTTTGCAAGCTCTTGCTCCTGCTGTTGTCTCTCCCTCCTTTTCTCAGCACTTTCTTTCTCCTTGTGTGAATTTGGTGGAAAACGAAGAGCACGCACTGCTTCATTGTACATGTTAAGGCAGAAAGCAATCCTCGAGTTGAAAGCAATTTGAGGTTCATTTGTAGAGTAAATGTCACCCATCTCCTTCGATACCATCCAACCATTTGCATGATCCAACGTCGCATCAACTGCACCATCACGGATTGCCTTGGCTACAATACTCTCAGCATCAGCAACAGGGTTTGCAGAGTCCAATCTCAGCTTCTTGGCTACATCAGCCAATGAGATACGGGAGTAAGAGATACTGATGTTTCGGAGCCCAGTCCTTATGACATTATGCCGCAGCCTAACAATCAGGTTGTGGGTCCTATCTGAACTGAAAGTGCTTGAAAACTTATCAGCAACATTTCTAAACAGCTCTAAATCTCCAATTCGAACAGCCTGAAAGTACGACACATCATATCCCAAATCAATTGCAGACACATGGGGATTTTACATACACATAGTTCTTAGAACAAGATCAACCCTAATGGAGGACAGATGGTTTAAGAACTGACGTGGAGGAGAGGATACAAGATGGGAGAGAGAGAGAGATGGGGGGGGGGGG